CCTGCCACCCCCTGACCTTTCTGCAACCACCCAGACGGCTCCGATACGACAGTGAAATTAGCGGGCACTGTAATTATAACTATCAGGAGCAGATAAGACAAGTTAAATACCAGCTACCTAGGGAGAAATTATTATGCCAGCCAGGAGGATCCAAATGCCAGAATCCGTGGCTGTAATTTCCCTGAGTCGCCAATTACGGCTCCCGCATGCAGCGAGCTCTACCTTGGAAACGGCAGGTATATATTTAGCTGCTCCAGAAAACTTTTTAGGGGAGGAGGGGGAGGGAAGGGGGCAGCGACGGAGCAAGGCCTCGCTAATCTGCTCTTTGCTAATCCCCACGCTTTTAGCATTTGCACACAAAAAGCAGCAGCCTCTTCCCACTCCTCAGCAAGGATTTACCAGCAGAGATGGCTCTGCAGTAATACTTCCTTTCTCCGTCGGGTACCTCGGTTGCATGAGGTCCAGCCAGCCCTGACGGTTTGGCCAAACCTACCTAAGGGAATAATAGAGGAAGCAGGAAAAAAAAAAAATCTCAGCTTTCCTGACTTCCCAGGCCTGTGTCCAACACCACGGTCCCGCTGCCTGCTCTTAGTGGTTGTATTTTACTGAGGCCTCAGCATGTGCTGCTGGGAAATGGACTGCAGTAGATGACTCCAAAAACAAATAAAAAAACCCAAAGTATTGTCAGAAATAATTAAACCTATAATTGCAAAAATAAATGGAGAACCAACATCTCATGATGTTTTATTCTGCCTTTTTGTTTTTAATTGGAATTGTTCTCATACTCGCTAATTGACAAAATTCAGTGAGTCACGAAGCCTTCCATGTGAATTAGCAAGGTACCGCTGTTCTTCTGGTCTTTTTTTAAAGACAAACGACCAGGTAGGCCAAGGTTGGGTTAGAGGTGAAGAGGAGGGGAGGTTACTTGAAAATCTGCCTTTAAATACAGGGAAAAACCCACGTGTCTGTATTACTTTGTTTAGTGAACAAACAAAACAGTGTCTAGGCACACTCGTTTCTTCTGATGTTCTCTGAGAATCGACTGCTACCAGCTCCATTCTATAGATGGGGAAACTGAGGCAGAGAGTAACAGAGGGGCTTTCTCAAGTCCCGGCGCCCCTGCGGCAACAGTCATCAGGGAAAGCCTGCACGCCCCGGCTCTCAGCTGCGCACGCCAGCTACCGGAACGCACTCTCTTTGTGTTAAAAAAAATTGCCGATATTTCTTAAATACAGATAAAACTATAAAGCCTTGAAATTTCGAGCAGCTGTTGTTTTATGTCTTTATGAACTGTACTGATGCCTGTTATAAAAGGTTGGTTTGCTAGCGGCATAAGCAATACGATCTGCTTTACTATATATCCCTGCTCTTATGTTACTTGAATATTTGCCACGATAGTGGCATTGCTTGCAGTTTAATCACTGTTCGAAACACTTTTGCCCCCTGCCCCCAACCCTGGCAGCCCTTTGCAGTGGTGAAGACACTGTCACCAACACGACTAAGTGCACGGTGATACAGTTTGGATAAAACAGAAAGCAAGGCCGAGATCCTTGCAGGGCATCCGTCTACTGGAATCGCTACACGTGCTGGGAACCTGCCGCCGCCACCACCTCCCGCAGCCTCGGGGTAGGACGTAGAGGCTCTGCGGCTTGTGGGGAAACGGGGCACACGTCCAAGACACGCAGTGCAGAGAAAGTTGAGATTCAGGGCCGTTCTTCCCCAAAGGACAAAATTAATCCTGGTTTCCAGCTCAAATCGCAGCTGGGAAAGTAAAAATCCTTCAGCCTCCCTTTTGGTTACCAGCGCGTTTGTTGGTTCTCTTCACGTCCCAGAAGCTGGCGTGTAATACTGGGTACTGCTGTCAGCCTAACGCATGCCCTGCTTCGCAGCAGAAACCTGCGCTTTCAGAGTCAGGTAAGAGCGAGCTTGATTTTCTTTTTAACAGTACACACAGAATTTGCAAAGCGCCTCGAGTTCCTTGGAGAGGAAGGGTGCATAACTATTACGGGAAGCTCTTGTTCTTACAATAAAAGGTCGTGAATTATCAACAATCTCTACTTACAACACAGGAATCGTTTTCCACTATCTAAGATGGCCTGGAAGCTGCCTGTAGATGGAGCCTTACTTTCTGCGAGGATGATGTTGAGGCTCCCTAGGAAACGTGGAGAGATGGGAATGGAAGCGCCCAATATTCACTGCAGATAAACCACGACCAGTCTGAAAAGGCTCCAGGTTCCCTTCACCTTAAGCGCACGGTTCTGCTCTTTCTCTGACCTCCTCCTTCCTGCAGACGCAATGCATGTTTAAAGAACTGATCTTGAAAAGCAAAGGGCTTCCTACTGGGGCCAGGGCAGGCTCACTGCCTCTCAGGACCAGCCAGCAATGCTGCACAAATTCGGAAGGGAGAAGGCTGGGTCCCCATACATCTAAAAGGATTCTGGCTAATTTTACAAGCGCAATGAGTCGCAATTTTGGATCTCTGTTTTTAAAGTCCCAAGTCATGAGCCATCTTTGGCTCAGGCCCCACGAAAGCTGTCGTTTTGCAGGGACGACAGAAGGGACCACCACATCTGCTCCGGCTGCGCCGCAAAGCCTCCAAACGGCTGGCGCCTGGCCTGCACCTCCGCCCCGGGGCAGCCCCGGGCGCCGTTTCCCGCGGAGCACCGCAGCTGCTCAGCGCTGCTGCAACCAACACCAGCCACCTCCCCGAACCACTGCACCCCGCGCTAGCCCTCCGGCTTGCTCTACGCAGACGGCTATCTGGAGCGAGCAGCGACAGCCGTGAAGGCCCGGGCAGCCTTAGCATACTTGTTCGCCTTGTTGGTAGATCACAGCCGACGGCCGGAAACCCAGGGAATAAGGAAGGAGTCGCTGCAGCAGGGAAAAGCTAAACTTGAGGAGAAACGGGAGGAGGTGTGAGCACGGAGAAGCAGCCACGAGAGCATGGGCAGGAGAGGACGCAAGGTGGGACGGGGCGGCGCGGGAGGCTTTATAGGGCAGGGGCTCCTCCGAGCAGCGCACCCGCGGGGTCCCACTGATGGACGTGCCACTCCTTAGAGAGGAAGGCTAAAATACCCCCCCGCTACAGGGCCGGCTGCTTCACAAACATCCCCTTTCGCAGACGGCGAGGAAAAGAGGCCAGAAGCTTAAAAAAAAGGAGATCCAAGTCAGCCCTCTGCTGGTGACAGTCTCGGCCAGCGCTGGAGCCCACCGCGGAGCCCACCGGCTGCGGGGCTCCCGGGGAAGGGGCTGGGGGGCCCCGCACAGCTAGCTTACAGTCAGCAAGGAGGAAATGTTTCTACGCCGATGCACGCGCATTTAAACGAGCATTGCCTTGCGCGAGCCCCAGTCCCCATGTTTCATCCAGGGGAGAAACACCAAAAAAAAAAAAAAACCCGCAAGGAAAGAGCACCGAGGGCCAAAGACATCTCTTTGGGGGATTGTTTTCTCCTTGTTAAACTGCATCGCTCGCTCCAACTCAGGTTAATCATCACTGCAATTCAATTACGAAGAGCAAAAGGAAGCGTGCCCTGCGCTTTCCCGCGGCCCCTGGCTACGAGGTGTGCCGAGGCGGCTGCCCTGGTGGAGCCGGCTGTCTCCAGCCCTGCTCCCGTACCAAACTCCGCCGTTGAGTCCTGCTCCCCAAGGCTCGGTGCTTCCCTGCGGGGCCGCCTGAAACGCTGCCCGGGGCTGTGCCCGCGAACAGGGGCCG